CATTCTCATAACAACAAATTACAACAAAAAAGAAGAAGAAAAATAAGCCCATGAATGACACATGAAGCTACCACAAGGTTGAACAACAAACCAAGCCAAACACGACCCACCTTTATAAGGGAATTGAAAGCAAAAGCAAGCAATACAAGTTGCAAAAGGGCAAGAGCTCAAATATTTTGATTCTTGATTTCTCACTCCATTGCCTTCAGATTATTTTTAACGCATTTCACATGACATAACGACATTCCACGATTCACGCATCCATTCACCAAATTCCATTCCTCTGCTCAACATTCACACAAAACCTCACATCAAAAACACACCAAATGGCTGACACGATACTTTTCACTCTTCACTCAATTCCATTCTTCTTCGCTAAAAAACAACCTATAAAACCATTGCCTCGAAAAAAGATTCAAAAATATTCATACTAATTCCTTTAACGGAAGCTATTTCCATGTTGAGTTTCTTTTGATTGTGTGGATGGAAGTCAAATGGATCTTGTTCCTCTACAAACTTTGAGCTCTTCGTTCTTCCTGATCCAATTTTTTATGTTTTAATTGTTTTTGTGTGTTGTACATAAGTGATAACCTCCATGTTTTTCCTTGCACTATGGACCTGACCCATACAAAATGCTAGTTGCACCCTGCGCACAGTAATGCACCACCCTTAAGCCTAGTCTTGGATTGTGGGATTTGTTTTGCCCTAGAGCCCATGGTGATTCCCATCTGCACACTCTTACACGACCCAGTACCCCTTCATTTTTTATTTCTTCTTTTCTTTCTTCTTGTTTTTTGTTGTTATTTATTTGATTTCTAGTTCATTTCTTTTTTTTTCTTTTTTCAAAATTTCTAGTATTTGTTTAGCTTTATCTTAATTTCATCATTAAATTCAATCTTGATTTAGTTTTTATTTTCTTTTTTTATTAATTGGTTGATGAGATCTAAAATATCGTGGAGAAATTGTTCTTAGGTTGAATGAACCTTCAATGTTTCAAACTTGTTAACGAATGATTATTGGATCATTCTTGACACTTTGAGATGTTGATAAGTTGTCCTTGGTTGATCATTTGAAACTCTTGATTAAAGATGAGACCATTCTCTTTTTCTTTTCGTGTGGCATAACTTTAGAAGAATGATTCATATATAATTTCTCTAGCATGTTTTAACACATAGATTGTTATTGACCAACCTTAGATAGGTGCGACTTCTACATAAGTCCACTTACGATTGCTTAATATAGTGCCAAATTGGTCCCAACTTGATAAAGCGATCATTCGATCAATAACCATTAACAACTAACTTATAACATCTAACTTTACTTTTGGCTCTTATTTTTCCGCAATTTATTTCATTGCTCCTTTATCATTATGTCATTATATTTTTCTTTTATTCATCATCTTAAAAAATACAAAAACATGATAAAAATGATAAAACCCTAAAAGACATTGATTTTGGACTATGGTTGCTATCCCTTGTATGGAGTTTTGGACCTTATTCTCAACCCAAGCAAAAGGAGGCTTGGATCTTGAATTGTTTATTTTCTTTGTCTTAGCTTAGGACAATCTACACACACACAACTTTCTCTTGGGTTACCTGACAATGAGACCCTTTATTTCTCGCATATTTTCCCCAGTATTTTTCATGTATCCTTCTCCCAATTTTGGTGTAATTTCTTTGCTTTCTCGATTTTCTTTGGTTGTGGTTTTGCTTGCTAGTTACTCCTTAGGGACTAGGATTGACCTCACCTTTCCTCGAACCCTTGATCCAACGTCAAATGGTATCCTTTTCTAACCCTTGTAAGTCTATCACTTTGTGCATCGCCATCAACCAAATCCAAACATTCTTGATCCGTACATCAAATCATACCCAATTTGTAAGTCAACCGCTTCATGCGTCGCCATCAACCTTTCCCATTTCCATCTCAAACCTTTTTTCATCCGCGATAAAATCCTCGATCTAACGTCAAATGGAATTTTCTCAAATAAATTGAAAAACACAAAAAAAGGCGATTATGATTGCACGCCACAAGCCTTAAGCGGTGGAAAAGGAGTGAGAATACTGCAAAAATATTCGCCTCTACCCATAGTCTTTAACGCAATCTAAATAAAAAACAATTTCTTCTCAAATCCTAAAATCAACATCCACATGTCAAACTCTCTTTTCTCGCTCCCGTGCGATTGAAACCTCCTTAAGACATTAATTCCTCGCCTCGTGTGGTCAAACACTTTTTGCAAAGAACATTATTTAGTCCCTTTAACGCACATATAAACTAGTGCTTCAGCCTCCCCCCGTGAGTATACAAGCCAATGTTTAGCAGTTAGAATGTGATCTAAACACTCGTTCGTTAAAAGACACAAACCAACAAACTGTAGTCCCCCGAACTACGAAGTTCTGACTTCCTCAATACACCATGAGGGTGCGTAGGCACAGGATTGCAAGACCCTGACGAGCTACCTTTTTTCTTTTTACTCCAAACCTTTTTCCTGTAGTCCTTCGAACTACATATGCTCTGATTCTTCATTTCACAATGAAGATACATAGGCAAAAGGGTCCCAATCCTTGGCAAGCACCCTAATAAAAACCTCATTTTCCCCCTTTAGCGGTTTCCTTTCCTTTCTCTTTAGTTCTTTTATCATTTGAAGAAAGTAGATAAACACGAGCTAACATTCAATCACAAATCTAACTAAGAGGTTTCTGTTGAGTACAACAGACGTGGGGGTGCTAATACCTTCTCTTTGTGTAATCGACTCCCGAACCTGAATATGGTTGCGACGACCATCATTCTGTTTTTAAAAGTTTTTATCAAAATTTTTCTATTCCTCCATTGGGATAAATAAAGATCGATGGCGACTCTGTTCAAAATTTTTTCCACGACCATTCGTGAAGGATCGTATTTTTCGAGGTACGACAGTCTCGCACCCCCCATGATGGCAAACTGTTTTAATAGATTGACTGCATCTCTCTTCGTCTCGCTAAGTTTGGTCAGATTATAACCCATGATAGCGAGGGGTTTGACCATCTAATATAAAGGGAACCTATGAGTCTCATTTTCTTAGTAGATGACTTTGAGATACTAAGCACCTCCCATAAGCCAAATAATTTTGTCCTCTAGTGTTTATAGTTGGAAGTGTAAGGAGAGACAATTGCATGTCAGAGGATGACACTCACAGATACCCATTAGCCCTAGTTGACCCCTTTGGTTTCGTAGATAGAAAAGAATATTCCCTCTGTCGGAGTAATTTTGAGACCCTGTCATAGGATCCCCAAACCTCGAAAAATGCCTAGTTGCTCAAATGTCCCTTAAAGGGGGAAACATTAATAGTCTTCAGAATCTCGAGCTACATGATGGAAAAAGGGATACATACTCCAAAGTCCCTAATCACCCTGGTATATAAATAAAAATATTCTTCTTCCACACCTTCAGATCGCCACATGCATATCTTGTCGTCTTGCAAACACGGTTCTAATATCACATCAACCTTGTTCTCGATGTTGGATAACTCCTAATCTAACAAAAAGGCTAAAATCCAATCATTTTAAAGACATATTGAATCGATATTCATGGCCTCTTCGCAAAAGGAACCCTATTTAAATTTTGAGAGCTCCATGGTAAATTTATCCGGACTTAAGGAAGAATACACTAAGCCAATGTCTCTATCATTAGATAGTTTTCTCCTCGAACCATTACAAAGCAAACTCTTATAACTACCAAAGGGCTTCACTTCAACGAACCACCAATCTACTTTTCTCGTACCCCGTTTTGAGCTATGTAGACATTTATTCCACATTTCTTACACCTTTACATGATTTAAAACCGCCACACTTGAAAAAATAGAGCAAGCTCGCAAAAAAAAAACATCTGTTGGGGCATATAAGTTAATGGTTGAACGATTAGGAAAATATTTCACTCTTACATGGCTCATGCTTGAGGGACTGCGTACATGTCTGGTTCCTGAGAATGTCTTATAAAAACATTTCTCCTTTATACGACTCAACTTGAGGAGCTTTGTACATGCCTTATTCTTAGGAAAGTATTTCACATTGACATGACCCCTACTTGAGGGACCGTGTACATGTTTGGTTCATGAGAATGCCTTAGGAAAACATTTATCCCTTACACAACTCATGCTTGAGGGTTTGTGTGCATATTTGGTCTCTTGGATCAAGTTCTCACATGAATCAAATTTAAACCGGACCCAATGAAGCTCGCCTCGAGTAGCGATCCACCCAAAAGAGCAAGGTTGGGTTGAAATAACTAGTGGGAAATGTCAGTTAGACCAAACCAAATATATGGTAAGACGATATCTAATTGAGATATGATGGAGAACACATTTATAACTTATTGAGAATATCATAGCCAAATATTTGTGGAATTAAACCTGACTCTCAATCACCATAATAATGTCGTAAAAATCAAGGGCAAAAAGATATACACAATTTATAAAAGAGAATTCAACTAGCACTTTAGTTGTCATCACTAATAGAGTTATGATTAATATATTTTTGTCGGTACTACGATAAAGGAGATGAAGAAAATAATGAGGAAAAAATACGAAAAAAATATAAATTATATTAGATCTTCTAGATTAACTTTTTAGATTGAATACAACATCAATATTTAACTGAGGTTGAATTTGCTAAAAAATAAAATGGTTAAATTAAAAAAAAAAGTTTTCAGTCAATATTCAACAAAAAGTTAATTGAATGAACTAACTTTTAACAAATAAAACAAATTTAATAATAACATTAATATTATAATTTTACAATTTAGTATAATTTTTTCTTTAAAAATATGATAAAATCAGAGGGAAATTTTTTTGATCAAAATATTTACGATAATTGAGTGTGTTAGAAAAATTTAGACTCTGATACAGTACAGTATGTTCTATTTTGCTGGGTTTTTCCTTCTCTATATCTCGCTCTTCAAAAAGAGTATAACAATTCTCATATCCCTAATGCTTCGTTTGGTTTCCTTTTATTCAAAATTGCAGAATCAAAATGGAAAATTCAGAACACGAAGAACCTGACAAGAAGAGGCCTCATCTTCTCACTCCCGTTTCTTCCCGCATGTTCAGAAACTCTTCCAACCATTCGCCCAACAACAAAAATGTAACCGCTTTTTCATTCTATTATTTCTGCTACTTATCAGTTACGTTATGTTGATGATATTGTTTTGAGTTTTTGAGCCGGTTAGGGTTGTGGAAACCTACTGAATTGGGTATTTACTTCATATGGAGTGGAATTTTTGATAAAATTTGTTTTTAAAAACAAGGGGGCGAAGTAGGGTTGATGTTTGGTTTTGCTCAGTGCTTCTCACTAACTAGTGATTAGGGCTGTGAAGAGTAGTAAGGATGAATTTCATGGCATGTGATTCTTTATACTAGGTTATGTATGTTAGATTTATAGGTCATAGCAGTTAAAGCTACTTGTCGCGTGCTTAACTATTATACGTCATAGTTTTGGGGGTTAAAGCTACTTGTCGTGTGTTTTATTATGTTGTATGGTCACTTCAGATTGAAAGGTTTTCCTTTGGTAAATGATACCGACACACCACACATGTGGTTTCATTCAATTATTCTATTTTCTCAAATTATTAACAGTATGAGTGTGTTTGTGTAAGTGCTGCATAGGTGCTTAAGTATTTATGAAAGGGGATATTTTCATGTCATTGAGAATCCTTCATTTTAGAGAAGTGGTGTATTTTTTTAAATGGAAAAAAGTACCAGGGTTTTTACCGGCTTAAAAGTGCTAGGCAAGAGTTCTAGAGGTGAAAGAAAAGACGGTTTGGATTGGATTAGTGTTTATTGTCACAAACAAGCTCTCTATATCTGTGCGTGGTTTGCAACAAGTTCTTTTTTAACAATAATTTGTTTATATGTTTTGCTTGAGTAATAATTGGAAATGCTTCCCCCAGGCTGATGCAGAAGCCTTACAACTCCAAAATCAGAAGCTTGTTCAACAAACAGAGATTCAGAAACAGGCTTTACAGGATCTTGAAGAAAAAACGAGAGAATTAATAGAAAGACAAAATTCTTATGATGACTTATTAATTGCATTCAACCAACACTGGGAACAGGTTGTTTTTTATTGTCATGCTCTGGTCTCTATTCATTTTTGTTATTTCCTCTTTCAAAAGTAAACACTATCATAAGTAGCGCATGTTCTGGTGGCCTTGTCGGGGATCATAGGTGGAAGACTAGGCACTTTTTTCACATTCTTGTTGAATGTGCACATTGGTTTAACTTATTTTCTCTTCTAGTTGGTTGCTGATATGGCTCTTCTCGGGATACAAGCCGGGAGAGACAAAGATTCTTTGCAAATTTTAGATTACCTTGATAACCCTCAAGGTACGTTAACACGCATGCCAATTTCTTTCGGGAAGTATTAAGAAAAACCAAGATACTGAATTTACTTTCTTTTTAGGTTCACTTCCTCCTTGTCCTCCAAACGATCTATTTCTTTGTAAATTAATCCAGAAAGATTCTATTGAAGGAAGCAGTAATGATGAGATAACTAATTTTGTTGAGGAAGCCCTTGCTTTGCGTCAGTTATCTACTAGGGAGTTGTTGGAACTCATTCATGGTACTGTTGATGATCAGATGAAAAGAGTTGAAGATATGGCTCATGTTTTACACGGAGATTTATCTACGGAAGGTATGATACATTTGAGACACCATGCAATGATGGAACTATATTGCTATCATTAAGGATTGAATTGATAGTTTTCTACCATATATCATTGATGTTGGATTACTTAAGAGAAATATGTATGATAAATCTTTTCCTTTTATTTATACTTGGGTTTACAGATGTTATCATCCAAATGTCTAAGATTGACGATATGACGAAAAAGGAGGTTGACAATTTTGGTGAAGTAATTAATACTCTCCATGCAAAACACAGAGAATATACTGCTGGCATTCAGAATTATATAGACGAGTGCTCACAAGATCAATCTGACATAAAACGCCTTAAAGGTATTTGAAATGTTTTTTTTTTTTTATTGTTTTAACTGCATCGGTTATTTATGAATTTAGAGTAACAAAACATGGATTTAAACGATCTTGATTACCATATAATGTGGTTTTTAAATGGTTAGCGACACAGTTTAATAAAAGGAAGGTTTCCTTTTGTTTAATGATATATGTTTAGTTATAATTGATAATTATATTCTGTGTGTAGATCTCGAATTTGATACTTAAAAAAGATTTTTTAGAACATCAATTTGACCTTCGGAAAATTAACAAGGATGATTTTTGTTTACTACATGACATCAATTTGGCCCCCCTCAAGCACTAATTTTTGTCAAATATCATTCAAGGGCCAAATTTATGTAATAATATTTTGAGGGACATATTGAATGTTTTGAAAATCATTCCAGTATTAAAATGGTTTATCATAAATTTTATCAGGGTATCTCTGGCTGCTATAATTGCACGAAAATAATTTCTGCATGCTGTTTATTTGTTATTATTTTGATGATTGGTTTGTCAACAGAATTATTGGCAATAATGAGTTAAATTATTAGAAATAATTCTGTAGAAATTGTATATTTATTTGTAATATTTATTCTCTTAATTAACATAATTAGCTGTAAATGTAAATAGGGCAGTTTAGCTAATTTAGTGGGTTGAATATTCAACCTGACAGCTTGTAACTACAATATTTATATGAGAGATCAGAATGAAAAGACACACGGTTCTTTGACCAAAACTTTCTTAGTTAACATGGTATCAGCCTAGGTTAATATCCAAGAACCTAGTCTTTTTTTTTTCACGATCTTGTTTCGTCTTTGTTCTCGTTTTTTTCTCTCTCTTGTTTCTCGCTCAATTCGTCGTTCTTGTCCAATTCCTATTTCCATAGATCCATGTCTACCGAAAAGCATGAAGTCTTGTTGGTTCGCCTTAATGACAAAAACTACGCAGCTTGGGCATTCCATTTCGAGATTTTCGTCACAGGAAAAGATTTGTGGGGTCATGTTGATGGCAACACTCCAGCCCCTGACAAAGACAAAGAAAAAGTTTCACATGCCAAATGGGTGGTCAAAGATGCTCAAGTCATGTCCTGGGTTCTAGGTTCTGTTGATCCCAACATTGTCCTAAATCTTCGACCTCACAAAACAGCAGCCACAATGTGGAAATATTTGAAGAAAGTCTACAATCAGAACAACGCCGCTCGAAGATTCCAGCTTGAACATGACATAGCTCTCTTTAAACAGGATAGTCTCCCCATCTCTGATTTTTACTCTCAATTCATGAATCTATGGGCTGAATACACCGATATAGTTTATGCAGACTTGACTCCTGAAGGTCTAAGTTCTGTACAATCTGTTCATGAAACTACTAAACGAGATCAATTTCTTATGAAATTGAGATCTGAATTTGAAGGCATTCGGTCCAATCTCATGCATCGAAACCCTATCCCATCATTGGATGCGTGTTTCAATGATCTGTTACGTGAAGAACAACGTCTCCTTACACAACCCATCATTGAAGATAAAAAATTATCTACTGTTCCAGTGGCATATGTAGCACGAGGAAAATCAAGAAGTCATGACATGAGTTCTATTCAATGTTTTTGTTGCAAACAATTAGGACACTATGCTTCAAACTGTCCAAAAAAATTTTGCAACTATTGCAAAAAAGATGGACATATTCTTAAGGAATGCCCAATCAGGCCACCAAAGAGAAATGTCACAGCTTTTACAGCCTCGGTTGAGTCATCTATTCCTAACAATTCCACCAATTCCGCACCAGTTCAACAAAATGCTTCTACTACTATTTCAACGGTGACCCCTGAAATGGTTCAACAAATGATCGTTTCAGCATTCTCTGCTCTAGGATTCTCAGGTAAATCCTCTTCCTCTTGGTACTTTGATTCGGGGGCTTCCAACCACATGACCAGCAATGCCCAATTTCTTACTAATATCAAAAAATATTTTGGAAATCTCAAGATACATACTGCTGATGGAAATCAATTGCCTATCACATCCACCGGTGATATTTCTTCATCTCTAACAAATGTTTTTGTTTCTCCTGATCTCACTAGTAATCTCATTTCAGTTGGTCAATTAGTTGAGAATGATTGTCAAGTACAATTCTCACAATCTGGTTGTCTTGTGCAGGACCAACAATCAGGGAAGATAATCGCGAAGGGGCCTAAAGTTGGACGTCTTTTCCCAATTCAGTTCTCATTGCCTCCAAGTCTTTCTCTTCCTTTAGTTTCGTGTAATTCTGCTATTGTTGATTACCAAGTGTGGCATAAGCGTCTTGGACATCCAAACGCAAATGTACTTCATGCATTGCTAAAATCTAGTTTTCTTGGAAATAAACACATTCCATCTCTTAATTCTGTTCATTTTGATTGTATTCCTTGTAAGCTTGGTAAAAGTAAAATTTTGCCTTTTCCAACACATCAGTCTAATGTAACTCAACTTTTTGATATCATCCACAGTGATGTTTGGGGCATGGCACCAGTTATATCTCATGCTAATTACAAATATTTTGTAACTTTTATTGATGATTATAGTCGTTTCACGTGGGTCTATTTTTTGCGATCAAAAGATGAAGTCTTTTCCACTTTCAAATTTTTTCATGCTTATGTTCAAACCCAATTTTCATCAAAAATAAAAATATTTCGCTCTGACAATGGAGGGGAATACATGTCACACTCATTTCAGGAATATTTGCAATCCAATGGCATTATATCTCAAAGGTCATGCCCCTCAACTCCACAACAAAATGGAGTAGCGGAAAGAAAAAACCGTCATTTGCTCGATGTTGTCCGCACCCTTTTGTTGGAGTCTCATGTGCCGTCACGATTTTGGTGTGAAGCCCTTTCCACCGCTGTCCATCTTATAAACAGAATGCCATCTCCGTCAATAGGTAATGAATCCCCTTTCATTCGGTTATATGGTCACCCACCAAATTACTCCACTCTTCGTATTTTCGGTTGTGTGTGTTATGTTCATCTTACCCCACAAGAACGCACCAAGCTCACTGCACAATCTGTTGAATGTGCTTTTCTCGGATATTCTCCTCATCAAAAGGGCTTTCTATGTTATGATCCTAACCTTCGTAGGATTCGCGTATCTAGAAATGTCATTTTTCTAGAAAATATATATTTTTTTGCATCACATCATGACTTTGTCTCTTCTCCAGTTTCTGTTCTACCATTGTTTTCTAACTCTCATTCAGGTCAACAATCTTCTAAACCTCTCTTGACCTACAAAAGACGAAGTACTGTCACTCAAAACCAACCAACAGATGGGCCCCCTCAAGATAATTCCTTGGCTGCTGGTCCAGTAGAAGAAGAACCAGAACCAACTCCTCTACGACGCAGCACACGCGATAAAAAACCACCAGAAAGGTATATCAGTTGCATGACAACATCATTATCTTCTATTCCTATTCCTTCATCTTATAAACAGGCCATGGAGAATAATTGTTGGCAGAAAGCTATTGAAACAGAACTTCTTGCCCTAGAAGAAAATCAAACTTGGGATATAGTGCCATGTCCCTCATCCGTTAAACCTTTAGGCAGCAAGTTTGTGTTCTCCATAAAGCTGCGATCGGATGGATCCATAGATCGATACAAGGCTCGTTTAGTTGTGCTTGGAAATAAGCAAGAATATGGACTTGACTATGATGAGACGTTTGCTCCGGTTGCCAAGATGACAACTGTGCGCACTATTCTTGCTATTGCTGCGTCACAAGCTTGGCCACTACATCAAATGGATGTTAAAAACGCATTCCTCCACGGTGATCTTCAGGAGGAAGTTTATATCAAACTTCCTAATGGTATGCCTACACCTTCACCTAACACTGTTTGCAAATTAAAACGATCTTTATATGGATTGAAACAGGCACCGAGAGTTTGGTTTGAAAAGTTTCGATCGACACTACTTGGTTTTGAATTCAATCAAAGTCAGTATGATCCATCTCTTTTCCTACAAAGGACTCCTAAAGGCATTGTGGTGCTTCTTGTTTATGTGGATGACATCGTCGTCACAGGTTCTGATCAAGATGCTATTTCTAGAATCAAACACTTGCTGCATTCAGCTTTTCAAATGAAAGAATTAGGCCATCTCACTTATTTCTTGGGTTTAGAGGTGCATTATCATCATGAAGGTGTTTTTCTAAATCAGCAAAAGTATATTCAAGACTTGGTACAGCTAGCTGGACTAACAAATGCAACCCCCGTAGACACTCCCATGGAAGTTAATGTTAAATATAGAAGAGATGAAGGTAACATTCTGGATGATCCCACTCAATATCGCAAACTGGTAGGAAGTCTTATCTATGTCACTATCACTCGTCCAGATATTTCTTTCGCTGTACACACGGTTAGTAAGTTCATGCAAGCTCCACGACATTTACATCTTTCAGCAGTACAACGGATCATTAGATACCTACTTGGCACTCCAAAGCGAGGTTTATTTTTTCCTGTTGATTCGTCAATCAAACTCCAAGCATATAGTGACGCCGATTGGGCTGGATGTCCAGACACAAGAAAATCTACTACTGGCTGGTGTATGTTCCTAGGAAATGCTCCTATTTCATGGAAATGTAAGAAACAAGATTCTGTCTCAAAGTCATCCACTGAAGCAGAATATCGTGCAATGTCTGCCGCTTGTTCTGAAATAATATGGTTGCGTGGTCTTCTTGCTGAGCTTGGATTCTCTCAACAACAACCAACTCCGCTGCATGCTGACAATACCAGTGCCATTCAGATTGCAGCAAATCCAGTTTACCATGAACGGACGAAACACATCGAAGTTGATTGTCACTCTATTCGAGAAGCCTATGATAGAAGAGTCATCAATCTACCACATGTCTCAACATCTATTCAAATAGCTGACATCTTCACTAAAACCTTGACACGTCAACGACACAATTTTCTACTTGGCAAATTGATGCTTGTAGATTTACCAGCATCAATTTGAGGGGGAATGTCAACAGAATTATTGGCAATAATG